CGAGCGGAAAAACGCTCTTACTTACCCCTAACATAAATCAACGGGGTTAGAGCGAGACGCGCCGTTTCCTGTTCGATGTTTAAACACTAATTTTGTTACAAAAAGGGACGGCATTTTAGGGAATAAGCGTTGTTCGTTGATCTTTTTGTTATAAATTAGTGGGGCAAACAATTTAATTCGATCGATGCCTTGCATCTTGCGCCATTAAAACGGATTAAACTATCTGCAAACCGAATTTTTAATGAAACTCAGATTTTCCGGCGGGATTTATCTTCATCGGTAATTGTTCGATTTATGAATTATGCTTTTATAAATATCTAGTAATGTTATTCACGGACACGCCGAGGCAAAAAAGTGATATTTGCAGTCGATGCAAAATTTTTTGAGGGCAATTAAAAAACGATTTGTCAATTAACCTGTGTTTGGATTAGTTTTAAAAATGCGTATAGAAGTTATAATTAAGTTTGGAAAGGTAAAAAATTTTTGGATGATAAAATCATCGTACGAAATTAGCTCAAATTATAGTCGGCTTGTAACTGTAATTGTAATTGTTAGGTCACTATAGTTTTAGTTTTGTAACAACAGCCGTTAGTTTTAACCGCTGTTTTTAATTTATTTAATGACGATATAGAAATAAGATTTTGAGTGAAATTTTAAATAAAAAAAACGCGGGTAATTAATACTTATTAATACAAGTGTAACAAATTGAATATGCTGATAAAGCACCTTTAACTTCGTGCTTGTTACTCATTATGTTTTGATAAGTAGAAATAATAAATTTTGTAGGTTAATTATTTGGAATATTGCGAAAAGATCTCATTTTTTTCCATTAGTTGGCAGAATATTAAAACACTAATATTGTTATTATGATTCACGCTTATTTAAAGTCAAGTTTCAGTTTCCAAATTACAACAAAACAACAATGTGTGTACAACAAAAATCTCATTAAAAGATAAAATTAATAAAAAAACACTCTATCGTTTAGCCAGTAATAGTCCCATCGTGGTGGCAGTAGATTTTCATCGAGATACTCCAATACTATTTTTATAGAGGTAGGGGCGAACGAAGATAAAAATCTTTATTTCACGAAGGGTCCCTATCGTTAATTTTCAGTTTTGAATTTTAATGACGCTACACGTGTTATTCTTATTTCACAGAAATTTATTTTCCCCGGCTTAACAACCACGAAAATAGTTTTTATCTTCACTTCGAAGGCAAAAGGGGACGAATGTTTTAGCGGGATTATTGTTATTTTTCTAGAGGAGAGGTTCCGAGGTAGTTCAATTAGATTGCAATTTCGAAAGCATTTAATACCGAATTCGATGAAAGAACTGATTTAAATTTTAAATGAGATCTCATAAATATACGGGAATATTCGAAATTGTATATTTAACGAAGCGAAATAGGGGCGACGCGAGCATTTTCGATGGTTTTAAATCAACTTATTACTTCAAGAATTTCGATTCTTTATGTCGGCCGACTGAAAATTATTGAGGCTTGCGAAGCCACAAGACATATCTACAATATTTCGTGTTAAATTGCCATTATTTTAGGTACTTAAGCTAAAATCTCATTTATAAAGTTACTTGGTATACTAATTGAACTGTATAATAAGTGGTCATGTATTTAAAGAAAGGCGCATAAAATTTTATTATTTCAGGAAATAAGATGCAAACATGAAAAATAAAGCAATAAAAAACGGAACGCATCACGCATTTTATATGCCTTTATCGCTATAGACAAATCAGAGTCAGGTAAAGGAAGTACGTTTTTGAAATTTTGATTATTATTTTGGCTTCATAACAAGTTTTTACGGCATTTTTACGTCCCTTTTACCGTCCAGCCAACGGCGAGTATTCCATACATTTTATGACATAATTAAAACGAAACTACTTTGTAATATTAATCTGCGATATTACCAAACTATCAGGCAGCGAATGGCCGGCCAAACTATATGTTATCGGCAACATCCCAATTATTAATAAGGAACGAGCATTGTACAAACAAGTTTATAGTTTACCGTAGATTAATGTTAATAGACCCGGGGTAAGCGATCATGATGGATTCCCGACCAAACCAAACCAAACAGAGACGAATACAGGGTTCTCTTTAATAAACTCCAGTCAATTAAAATTTTTTCCCCTTATTAAAACACAAATTTGAATTTTACAGCGTTACCAAAAATCCATAGCAAAGGGTTATTTTCGTGATTTTGAAAGTCTATGATTTGTAATAAAGTTTTTTATGATAATTTGTTAATGAATTTGTTTCATTTGAGTTTTTTTAATTATTTCAGGACAGAATTTGTGAAATATTTACTTCGATTTTAGTTATGGGTGTTTCTATTATTGCTGAGATTTATTTTATTTTAGGATCAGTTTTGAAATATTAGGGGTTTAATAAGATATCTAACAAATCTTTAATTTCGCAATATTGAAAAATAACTGAAATAAAATTAAATAGTCATTATTATAAAAACTCCCTAACGAAATAATGTTTTATCCCTAAATTGTTGCAGTTTTAAAATGCTCTAATAGTATTTAAAAATATATATAATATATAATTTACAAATTACTTCAAATGATCAATAGAAATTGGAAACGTCATCAAAAATGTTCAATAGTAAATTTTATTAGACATGGTAACGCAAACGTAAATTTCAGCCTAAACATCGACTTTAACCCTTGGATAATTAATCGAAAAATCGTACGATCGAAACCGCCACAGCACGAATAATTCGATTTAAACAATTCCAAGTAAAGTCGTCGCAAGGGGAAATTTGGAATAGCTCAAAAACACGAACCACCTGTTGGGTTTGTTGCAAACGATTTCCTTGCCGAACTAAATTGCACCCATGATTTGAATAACAATAGTAGATTAGGGGATAGTTTGTCTGTCCGAACCGCCCCGACAGATACCTAGAGACATCATCTACAGTAAACCCAGCGGATTTTTTCGCAACAACAACCGTGCAAGGAAATACCTTATTCTCTTTTTGGAAAAATGCGCGACGGGCACGGGGTCCTGTCCCACCGCGACCGGCGGGACCTGCATGTGGTGCGGCAACGGCGGCGGCGGCGGATGGGGTTGCAGGTAGGTGGGCGGCGGCGGCGGAGCGTAATGCGAGGGGGTGCCCCCCGCATAAGCGGCGTACATATCCACAATTGCCGAATTTTTTTTCCGAACGAAATAAACCACAAAAATAAAAATGAACTGCTAAGCGACCGCGGCACTATTTCCGTTCAAATGGCACATTCGAAACGGAGCACTTCGTCACATGGCATGGGCTCGAACGAGAGGTGCTTATACGCCCGACCTCGCCGACAGGATTTGACGAACTGACGGGTCCGTAAGCTTCGCCTGGCTCGAGAATGGCGAGGAGGAGCAGGCCATTGATGGAGATGAGCTTGTAACAGCATCTGCTCGAAAGCTATTCTACCAGGATGTAGCGGCGTGCATTTCCATTGTAATTCGCAATTACAGTTACGAAAAAAAAAAAAACATTGCGTTTTATTTGATTATTTTTTTTTTTCGGAGGAAACTTCGATCGTTGAATGAAAACCGTTCCGTTACAATATCGGATTTGAACATTAATCAAAGTGTGAATAATATCCTATTACGGATACCGACGGTTTTTTTTTTATTCGATTTCGACTTTTCATTGATAAAATCGGAATTTGTGGTAAAGTTCCGTGACCGCTTCGGCCGTAAAAAGTTATTAAAATAATTCACCAAACGCAAAGCACAAAATCGGTTAGACCAAGAACGGACTTTTTCGGTCCACAAAATTTATTTAATCAATCGAATTAGAATTTTACGCCACTACTGAACATCGGGCTAATTTAATACAAACATCTACCTCGGGTTTCTACTTTATTCATGAAGAGAGCGGAAAATGTTGCCTAGGTTACTGTTGAGGGATTTTCGCTAAAGCCTCCGGTTCTCAAATCGGGAGGATAAACTAAAGCTTTATAAATGACGATAAGTTTATGCAGTCGCGAAATAAGAAAATAAATGAATGAATTTGTCATTTCGGTGCGGCCGGTTTGATAACATCAATTTGTCAAGTTAATCGTGTTTAACATGTAATAAAACCGTCGATTATGCTCGAGAAAATTGCGGTCTAATGCCGGCTCGGGTCGAGATAAAGTTCCTGTTTAATAAACAATATACTTAATAAATACAAATTCTCTTCTACGAAAATTTATAGAGAAGATTAATAGCATTAAAATAGGATTCACAGAGTTATTGCTCAATACGTACAGAAAATCTTTAAACTCTCAAATTTCATATTAGAAAATAAATTGTTAAGTAGTAGAAGATTTTACAATATTTACAATTTTTCTACAATTATTTGGGGAACACTTATTCAGGATTTCATTAATTTATTGAAGAATATTTTAGAAAAAAATATCAGTAATATCTGAAGCTCTAATTATTTTTTTAGGCAACAAATCTAGAAAAATACTTTGATAAGTAAAAACTAGATAACAAAAATTACCTACATACATCTGATTAACATAAATAAATCCCCATACTCATAATTCGAAAGTGTTTTTTTGCATAAACCTAAATCATATTAGAAATTCGCAAGGAACACCCGATGCGTATATTGCTCTTAAAAAAATAATCTTCTCACAGCGCGAATTTTATCAGTACGAAATTAACCATATTCAGACCATATTCCGAGTTGTTTTTAATACACAAACAGCCCGTTACGAGTTATTTATGAACTGATAAGAAAAAATAATTTTCTTATCCTAATTGAATCTGAAAATGCGGCAAAATGTCTCGCGAAGGAAAATCTACTTGGAGAAAATGTTTGATGTAATTCCGAAGCGCGTTGCGACATCTACGGAATCGTAAGGGAACTGGAAATTATGCAAGCATTTAATCTTGTTTGTAGGTAGAGTCACGGTTATTTAGGGGTTTGCTGTATTATAATATTATACGAAATTTAATGCGATGGTCTAATTAGTATTCATAAAAAGGCGACTCACCCTATATTAACGGCCCTCCTTTTCTGGATGCCTTTCGTAGGATCAGCACCTAATAGAATTATAGGTTAAGTTAACAAATGCATCGAGAATATAAACAAAATATATCCAAAGCCCATTTGACTTCAAGCAAAAATCTAACCCGACCTGCCTCCTAATTAGCATTTTATATGCTCAATAAATCCAAATAAATCGTACAAAATAACAAATTAATCCAATTAAACCCCTTAAATTAAATATCTACAATGAATATAAATTATTTTAAAACCCAAAAACAGAGTAATTAGCAACTAGAAAGCATTAACCCGTAATTATTACAATAAAAGCCACCCCAAACAATTTGATATCTTTATAATACTAACCTGGCACAGAATGTGTAACAGCTGACATCTGTGTGATAAATCATGCGAATTGTTATAATACCGCTTTTATTTATGACACATTACATCTACAATTTGATAAACATATCGTAAAGTTCATTCATTTGAAACACAAACATTCAAACCGAAACTTATGTTTACAACAAAACTTCCGCCATGTTCTAATCATAACCATGCAGAGTGGGAGGGGCTTGACTGAAGTTGACAAGAGACAGGTGACAGATAAAATAAGGCTCGTTCACAAAATCCTTGGCGCACTGCTAAATGGCAACGGTGTAAAGTTGTCATCGTTTTACGTAACAAGAGTTAAAAATGTTGCATAACTTCTTTTAAATTATGTATATCGATTCGTAAACGAATTTATTAATGCAAATTTGTAGACATTATGGTGTATAGGTTGGAACAAAGACAACTTCCTTTAGTCTCATATAAAGGAAAAAGAAAGAGTAATGGGAAGGAACTTTCTCACTCTAACCACTGTTATTTCAATATTTCTTTGTTCAACTCATAGAATTGACCATATTGTAAAAAATTAACACTTACCCATACTTGGGATACTTCCAGAGTTTTATTATTAATTATTTTGTTATACTTACCCCCTTTTGGATGATCCTTCCTTCAAATGCAAATGGAGGATTTTTTTTTACTGTCATTGTAGAATGTTTTCTAATTTTTAGAAATCCTAAAGCGAATTAAGGTATTTCACACAAGAAATTCGATTTCTATTAGAATAAATTTTGATTCTCTTGAAATTGAAGTTCAAAATTAATATTAATATACACACATTTTTAACAATGAAAATAATAGTTTGTTACTTATAAATTTGAAAAAAATATTTAATTTACATTATTGAGAGTTCTATATTATTTATCTTTAAATTCAACAAAATTATTTATTTTTATCGTTACTGTTAATCACAAAATGTTTAAAACGACAATCACACAAACAAAATTGATTTGAATAGAAAATGTATTCGAGTTATAAGTAAATCATAGTTAAAAATAATGTGTAGAATACGATTGTGAATGGCAGTTGTTATAACGACGAGGACTTTGTTATGAATTAAAAAAAAATTGAATGTATTTAGCATTTACTTATTTTACAATATGCAATCATACATAAGATGAATTATACCTACAGCCAGAAAAATATCACCACATATTTTAAACTACATTTGAGTTCTAGATCAAGACTGCCATTTTCTAATGATTACAGTCCTTACTTGTTCTTTAACAGAGTCCAATGTAACAGCTAAAATGGGATGTATAAAACATTTCTAAATATACATAGAAAATTAAAACTTGTATAAAAACACCATTTTCGGTACTTCCTTTGTACATTTATTTAATTAAATTCATTATCAGACATGTATAAAGCATTCGCACAGTAATACCAAACATGAATGAAGAGAAAGTGTGTGCAGGAAACAAAACAAATGAGGGATGACACCGCCTGCACCGCCTTTTACACCAGATCAGGCTTATTCTATTCCAGAGTAGTTGGAATCTACTGTTTATTCATGTTTATATCAAATTAATAAATAAAATAAGTAACATGGATGTATGTTTAACATTTTCCAGAAAGACAATGTTTACTTAATTTACAAAATGGTACAATTAATGGATTACACTATGTGAATTGATTAGCTATCCGAGATCTGGATATCTCATTTCTAGTCTTGGTGTCATTATCTCACAGCACTCGTATACTCACACGCACGCACGCACACTGTCATTTATGGTAAAAGTCCGGGAGAAAACAAACTATACATGGGTCTATTCTGTACTGTACACCATCAAGGCCGCATAGAGCATAGATCATAGACAACAGTTCAGTATCTACAGAGGTAGTAGAGTGGATTAGCTGCGAGATATCTGATACAGCACTTTGGAGAGCAATAAAGCTACTTGTTGGTCTAGTATCTGGCTCATAACTAGAGCAAGCAACCTCGATTCCTGTTGCACCAATAGAGGCTTGTTCTCCGGATGTCTTGCTAAAAATACTAATGTCGCAGCGGCTCTCCTCAACATGTCCAAACTCGTACCCATCGAATCGGGATTATCCCGAAGGGCGCTGATTCCGTGTTGATTCGCAACCCCCATTGCGCTTTGTTCTGCTTGCTCGATGAACGCTACTAATAATGAAACGCACGGTGTTTGCGAAGCCACCACTCTCGCCATACTGCTGTCGGCCGCGGCCAGATAATGCAACAAATTTATCGAAAATTCCCGTAATACCTGATCCTCTGATCTGCACAGGTGCTTCGTGAGTACGATGCAGAGCCTTTCTAATCTGGAGAACGGAGGCGTTGCTATCACCAAATCAACATTACTATTTGTTACACATAATTTGCAGAGTGCCTCGAGAGCTAGTCTCTGCGGAGAAAGCAGCGACGTTGGACCTACAGAAGCGAATGGATCTTGACCTGTAGCTGAAGGACATATGGCCCAATGTAATAGTCCATCCAACAAGGGCCTCGCCACTTCTTCGTCGAATAATGATACATCTATTTGTCCGGCTATATTTGATATCGAAACAAGAATATTTTCTCTAATTTGCACAAGAAAGTCCCACCACCATTCACTTTCACCTTGCAAACTACTACATGAATCGGCAAAATCTGCATCCTCCTGAAACAAATTAATAAAATTCATTCAAGTTCAACGTTCAAGTGTGAAGAGAATTGATATTGTCTCGAGCAGTACTCAACTCACCTCTCTATCATAATTTCTAGTCTTCTGCGTCCTAGGTGGATGTTCATGATGGAGCAAGAGTAATTTGCCGATGAGCGCTAAAAACGTTTCGCTTTTGGCAAATTCGTTTTCGTTACCAGGAATAAACGTAAGACTCCTAAGAATATTAGATAGACAAACGCATCGTTTGCCAATGTTGTCTTGGCTCTCGGTCAGGAGCATTAAACTGGCCTCGTCTCTAGTGTAGGCTTCGTCTTCATAATCGGAGATTCGTCGACGTTTCAAGGTACCTGATGGATCTCGCACCGATTGTCCTTTAGTATCGACGCACTCCCCGTTTACACTAATATTCAGATCTATGCTTGGACTTTCCTCACAATTCACTTTCTCACTCAATACCTCAGTCTTTATTTTGGTTGCCGTCGTCTCCGTCTCGTCTGGTTCGTAGTCAGGCGTAATTCGATATATCACATCAAGCAACGACTTAGCCCTAAGTCTTTTTTCACATATTTTGGCGTTACACATTTTAGACGGAGGCGCGGCCGCCTCGTCCGGCGTCGCGTCGTCGGGGGAACTTTTTATTTTCTTGTCGGAGACGGCGTCGTCTTTGTCGGATTTCATTTTGTCGTCTTCCAAACGCATGTGGAACGGAATGCGACAAAATTCCGCTTGGAAAGGAGGTAATATGTGATCTGCGTTCGTGTGCCACGGATCGGTCGGTATCTCGGCCAGAATGTTGGCCCGGTTCGGATCGCCTTTCGTGTCCCAATCTTTCACGTGGTCCTGGACGAACACGTCGTCCGGTCTATCAACTAATTTCACTGGATGTCCCTTACGAGAGACGAACGTGTAGTTCGTCGTTTCGTGCAAAACGATCGTCTTCATGTTGGGATCGATCGGCCTGGTGACGCCGCCGAGGTCGACTTCGGCCGGTTCGATTAGCTTGTCGTCGCGCGGGTACGGACCGTCGAACATTTCCGACAGACTGCGCTTGAAATGTTCCATCAAAAGGTCCAGCAATCCCGGCCATTGGCTCAGGCCGAAATAGCCCACTGAAGAGTCGTCGAATAGGAGAATATTAAGCATATCGAGTGCGTAAGTACTTTCGGAGAGGAGTCCTGATCTCAAACACATTATTATACGCCAAGCGTCGACTTGCCCGACGTCGCTTCGACATAGTCGTTTTCTACGGTATAAAACTGGAACGGTTGATTCGACACTATCTGGCGGGAACGTTATTTCTCGTTTAGGCATCTGACTATGACTGTAGGTATTACTGGGCGCAGGTTGTGCTTGACTGCCTTTAGCACCGCCACTTGGTGGCATTATGTTGGGGAACGGCTTGCCGGGCCTGTGAACCGGTCTCATATTTGCATTCTGTCCTGTCGGTTGAGCCATCCCCGGCCATGGCGGTTGCCCAGGTTGTTGCTGTTGATAATTTTGATTATTCGGCCAAGGTCCACCGGGCCTTCCTCCTTGGTTCCACTGTTGTGGAGCAACTTGTGGTCCGCCCGGGGATCCACCGTATTGCGGAGGTCTGTATTGATTATTGTTCGGCCAGCCACCTGCAATAAAACAACGTCGCTTTAGAATCATATCGCTCAATACGAATTTACCGACTACTCACTATATAAAGGAGTGCGAGGTTGGCCGTAAGCGTACGGCTGGTCCTTCGCGAAATCCGGATGCCTCCTCGGCGGTTGAGGTCCGGGAGGAGGCATGTTCTTGTTTGCATTAGTTCCTCCGGTGTATCCAGTTGCCGCGCCTGCTCCTTGCTAAACAACGCAAAAAAATATACATTATTAAACAGTCGCAATTCCTCATACAAATCCTCGTCGTACCTGTACTTGTTCTGGGCGATAATAATCCGGATGAGGTGGATAATTTCCAGGGCCGGTCGGCTGCGAGGTCGGCGGTCCCGCATTGCTCGGGGCTTGCCCATAAGCCGGTCGGGGATTATAGCTCGAGCCCGGGTTCGCGTTGTATCGGTAAGGATCCTGTGCCGCAGACGATGGTGGTCCCTGCGAATTGCTGGGACTCGGTGGCGGAGCTGATGAATCGCCAGAGTAAGGTGGATAAATCGGCCTTACAGCCGGTGGGTAGCCTTCGGAATAATTGCGAGGTTTTTATTGTGTCAAAATATCGAACGTTAATACGTGAAAAAATAACCACTATTGTTCTAATATATAAAATATTTTCGATAGATTAAGAGTTTTTATTGCGAATAATGCGACACCGCGTCGAAAATTGTAAATCAATTTTGCAAAGTTTACAAACAATACCACAACATTGCGAACGAACGTCATCGCTTTTTGCATCATATTGACGCTACTCAGCAATAGCTAATATTCCAATTGAATATGTTATGTCCTACGTTATTTATGCGATACGTCAATTTTAGGCGGTACGTTAAAAATTTCCGTTATATTTTGTTGAGTAAAATACAGACATGAAAAATATCTATTATATTATAAAATAAACGCACAATACTGGAACACCCTGTATAATTAAATACTAAGTTAGCGTGTAGGTTTATTTACAAGTTTAAATGTTTTTAATGGCTAGAAAAAGGTAAGGAGTGCTTAGATAACAGTAAAAAAATATTTGGTAACTATTGATACTAGAATGCAATGAAACGGGCCTATCTCGGTTTCGTTATCAATATCATCTAACATAGTCTAAGTGAGCCAAAACTTTAGAGACATACCTGAACTAGCAGGATATGGGGAATACTGGTCTGGAGAAGTACCCGATCCAGGACCGGGTCCGGGGTATTGGTACCCGGGTTGTCCGGAATAATTCTGACCGGGAGGCCGCGGAGGTGTTCCAGCCGGGTAAGAGGGATGTGGCCCGCCTGGAAAAGGCCCACCCCTCGGTGGTGGGCTTGGGGACACATCATCGAACGGATTGGATACGCTGACGTTGTCTGCAGCCCCGCCTGCAGGGCTGGGACCTCCAGGCGCTGCGCTGTTGTGATGATTGACTCCTGCTGAACGTCAACAAACAATTCGACGTTACTCATTTTCTTATATTCATATTTCCAATTCACAATTAAAATATCAAACGAAAATTTAAGTGGAAAACAAATTTGCTACGATTCTACTTTAATGCATTACATTTGGAAGAGAAAAAAAAAAACAATTAGATGAGAACAAAACAAAAAATGAAACGATTCTTAAAAGACAGATTGGAACAAATTAAACGCTTGGTTGATTGGTTGGTAGGAGTCAATTTTTTTTTTAATTATTACACTCTCAAAAATTTAATACCAAAATTCATTTTATTACTTCGAAAATCGTCCGCATCGACGCCTAACCTAACGTAACTCGAATTGAATCGAAGTCGCTTTAGAATTCAAAACATGCCTATCTGTTTAACAATGGCAAGTATGTTAATAATTTAAAACAAAGTAATACCTCCAACCTCACAACCAAACGAAAAATTCGGATACCGACAGTGAACAATGTCATTAGAATTATAAAAACCCAACTGATACATCTTTAACTTGTTTGAATTAAAACAAGCTTCTAACTACCGTATCTGCACACTACTGAAAATTTACAGGTCGATTAAAGTGGCAACTAAAGGTGATGAGCCATGCAAAAAGCACTCAGGTGTTTTTATGCTACTAACCTATCTCTATCGGAATGATATACAGGGTGATCCATTTGGTTTCAATAAAAATTTAATTTTTATTCAACAGTTTAAAACTAAAAGTGGTTACCGTTTATTTAATTGTCAATCAATTTACGACGTAAAGCGTGTCCGAAAATTATTTTTTTATAAACAATACCCTACAATCAATCGCATATGAAAAACGTTTAAAAGAAAATATTCATGTCTGATTAAACGCCGGATCGCAAACTCGATCCCGTCTCAACTACCGGCTAATATATCTCATAAACTCAACTAAAATATTCGACACAAATAAAACTAGCCCGGCAAAGAATTACTCCCACCGATCTCAAGGTTCATACTTCATACGGAAGGACTTACCTCCGTGTGGGCTGGGCGCGGATTGCGATGAAGGCCTCTGTGGTGGATAATCCGGGTTACCGGATGGTGGATATCCACCGTAACCGCCGTACCCGTCCATCGAGGCGCCGCCGGATCCGGGCGGAAACGAGTCCTGCGAGTTCGAGGAGCCCGGCGACGGCACGGACGTGGCCTTGGCGCTCTTCTTCTTCGACGTCGCCTCCACTTGGTTTATTATTGGCTGAGGATCAATACCACCTCTGTCAAATTGACATTCATATGCTAGCAAATGTTTAGTGTAGTGCTTCCTTAGCGTATAAGCAGCTGATGATGAAGCACCGATCCCTAGCATACCAGCAATATCCTTCCAAGTTTTATTTTTAGTCACCTGCAAGGGTGGAGATTAAAAATTGTTCCAAAGCATGGTTATTCAACTGATGGCGCTGGTTAGAAACTCCTATTTACATCGGTTTTATTGTAAAATTTATAGATATAAATCTGCACCCAGGATAGAATATATTAGTCTTGTATATTCAAATTTACTCCAAGAGCTTTTTAATCTAAACGTTCATATTTTTTCTGCATCCTAATTATTTAAAGAACAATAACAAAATAATTTCGTAATTGTCATAAAATGTTATTCGGCGATATGCATTGTTTATTAAATATAAAACAAAAAAAGTAACAATCTGTTATTAGATTTTTTTAACCTGGTACTTGTTTTTTAATATTTCGAGCCGCTGCATATTCATTTTTAATTCATATTTACGCAATAATTAGTCACAACGCAAATACTTGGTTTAAATTAAATAATTGGCTGAAAGAAGCGGCATTAATTTTATACTTAAACAAATTTTAAATTCGATTTAGTTACTAACCATCAATTGAAAAACCAAGGATTCCAGACAAAAACACATAAGGATCTACTATTTTTAAGGTAACTCTCATAATTTAGCATGTTTTAAAATTATCGAATATTCAAAAAAATAGTGGAATCCCTAAAACATAAAACCTGTGTACAAACCTCCATAAAGCCCCCACGTTCCTTTACAAACATATACAAGCGGAACAAATCAAGGGGATTCTTGGATATAGTCGGACATGTGGTGATAGGTGTTCTCCTATCATCCATGAACGCTAGCAGCTTATCTAACCAAGCTTTCCTTTCTGGATTTTCATCCATTTCATACAGCTTGCTAAGGCTGTCGGTTTTCTGGAAACACACAATGGTCACAATACAAACAACGCACAGATATACAAATTTTGACCACATTTGCTCCATATCATCAACAATTTTATTACAACATGAAATTCGACATTCTTTACTACTGTTGCAGCAAATGTGCTCAAAGTATTCCTGATATCCAATAGTACCGGCAATATTATAAACAGTAATTTTGGCAAATCGCACTTAAGTTGTGTACTTTGATGACCTAAGCGTATTCAATTCCATTCATGTTGTTTACTGATGCATCGATCAATGGATGAAATTGTAAACATGCATGTTAGATCTCGTAATATGTTATGTTAGTTCAATGAAAGATATGTGCGTATCGAACGTGTAATTAGAATTTTAGTTATAATTAGTGGTATTAACAGGTGTATTGCGTTGGTAGATTATTTAAAAACGATTTATAATTATAGAACGATAACGTAGGAGTGGAAGATTGACAGCTTTATCTACATAATGTTAAAGTAAGTTCAAGTATTTTATGACTTTGAAATGGAATTAGTTTGTTCAGGAGACGAACGAGACGAAGGGAAATAACTTTCCTTATTTTCTTTATTGTTGCAGTTTAAAAGTCAAAAAGTGAAGTAGAGATTTCAAACATTATAACGTCCCAAGTTTGCTACTTTGGGGAAAATTGGATAGTTTTGTATAGGAGAAAAGTTGTTTTGTAATACCAACGCAATAACTAGGTATTTAGCACATTTGGTAAAAAGGAATTATAAAATAAGTTATTAGTGAATGTAAAAATAAACACATTCTTAGTTTGAATTTGCAGATAAAATTTACTCGTAACAAAATTGTAAGATTTCCGCGTGAAAAATGTGTTTATTGAAGCGATGTAACCAAAATTACTGGAGCTGTAAATATATAAAAAACTGACTAGTCTAGGCGATAAAAAAGCAATAACAAATATTAAGCGAAAATAAACGAATTGTTAAAGCATAATTTTAAATAAAAAAAAAATATAAACCCATATTTTCTTCTAAAGCTACAAAAATTTGTTGACTAAAATTTACACCTAAAAATTGTAACATTATTCGTAATTTTATTGTAAAAAAAACCTAGACTAATGAAGCTCAATTTAATATTACCGATTCTCTTTATATTTTAAGTCGCTGAAAACGTCAAAAACTAATTTAAAATCAAATATGTACTGTTTCAAATAGAGAATTTCATCGACAAAGGACTAACGATTAAATTATTATAAACTACAATTTAAAAACCCTTAGGACATTTTTCAATACATCGATAATGCAATTTAAAATTCGAATTTGATATTTTCGTGTGATGCGACTGTTAAATGTTTTAATATATCTAGGGCAAGCACTAGAGGACATGCCATATACATGCTTTAAGTAAGCTGTTTATGTTTAGCACGACAAAAAAAGTAAATATTATTTGATATAAACCTTTGAGCGATACGTATCCGGGGGAGGCACATGACTGTTAAATACCTGGAAATACCCGCCAGTTAGCTCAAGTTGCTTTCAAAAACTCATCAATCCGACACCCCGAGATTCCGACAAATTCGCTTCTAGTCCGAATAGTTTTCCCCCCAATTTTTGTATTTAGAATAACAGTCTCATTTCAATGCAAGGGTCTCCAAAGTTTTCCATTATTTAATAAACCCCCCTAATTTCTACGGTTATTCTCTTCTCCATGATCTCTCTTCTTTCATTTCATCATTTCATCGGCTACTTGAGCTATTATTTCTCAAGCTAATATTTTGGAGACCCCTTAGTTAGAAATATTGCGTAATTTGTGAATATGTTTCGTTGTTGATGGGAGTCGGAATGAAACAGTTTCAAACAAGCCACTTCAGTGTGAACACAAAAATTTAACACGTGGTATAAAATGTTATCAGATTTTGATTTTTTTTATATCCTAAACAAAAAAATCGAGTGGTTGTATTGTAAAAAAGAAGCCACATTATTTTCTGTCGGCGCCTGTATTATTGAATTTGCTCTATTAATTGAATCAAACTCGTATAATTATGCGAATTCGAGGATTGAATTTCGAAACGCGAATTGAAAATAACGCGTCGGCAACGAAAATCAGTGTTTAAAAATTGGGTATGAAACTAAAACACAAATAAACTCAACAACACACACCAATATCATGTGCTGAAAAAACATTAACCCTCTACAATTTACTGCACTTTTATCAAATTATCTGCTACATCGCCAATAAAATTAGAATAAAAAAAATGTTTAAAATCCCGACGAAATTTCATCAGTAAAAATGCAGTTAATTAATGAATTTAACTAAATACGACATAAATATGACGAAACCCAAACTACGGGGGTAACACAAAAATTAACAAACATAACACTCGTGACGGATTGGTCATTGGGCGATGAGGCTTTATATCTCAAAAAAAAAGCTCAAACGCCCAACCATTCCGTTACTTCGCAACACTTATAATATCAAAATCAAGAATATGTGAATGCCCAGTCGGCCCAATTTCAAAACAATTGATTTCAAAGTATCGTAAACATATAACAGAACATAATATGGCTTGAGGTAGTGCTGTGCAATCACAACCACACTGAGGAAATTATTTCAAAAAAAAATCAAACAAATGTAACGTGTCACCAGTCTAAATCGAAACACTCACCGGACTTGCGGGCGTTCTCGGCCAACTAGGACTACCAAGTTCGCCGTATTCCTCGTGCATCGAATTTATACTAGCTGCACCAGGCGATGGAACAGTACTCTGCGGCGTCGTCGGATGACTATAAAGACCCATGTTGTCGTTTTTGCGAGTCGCCTTCGGCGTCGTACATTGCGGATCCTCTCCCGACGCTGTCGAAATAACTAAAGTAAGTAACAACCCCGAAGCGAATGCGACCAAGAGAGAGAAACCTACCGGCAGAAGCGTTCGACAGCGTAGATTGCTGGGAACCTTCGTCGATGGGAGTACCGTCCGGTCCCGTGGTCACCACGGACGTCACGGAACCGCCCGTCGCCGTGGTGACGTGCGTGTTCAAACCGCCCTGCGCCGTCGTGGTGATGCCGTTGTCCATCATCTCCGACACCATCGGCGGATGCGAGTTCGGCGTCGAACTGGGCGGCGGCATCGGCCCGTCGTGCGGATGGTTGTTCGGCAACAGCGGGCTGCTGGCCGGCGGCATGTTCGGCGGCGGCCCCATCGACGACGGCGGCGGCCCCATGCCCGAGTGATGGTGGCCCGACGGCGGGCCCATGTGGTAGTTCTGCGGCGGGCCGGGGCTGGGCGGCGCCGAGCCCGGCACGTTCTGGAAACCCATTTTGTGTTGGAGATGGTGCTTGAGGTAGTGCGGTGGTCGCGCGGTCGGGCCGCCCGGCGATTGCGAGCCCGGCGCCGCCGGCGCCGGCGGGTTCGGGCCGTTGCCCTTCGAGCCGGCCGTCATGGACGCCTGCCACGACTGTTGGTAGGGCGGGAATTGGGAGTTCTGCATCGGGTTCGGCGCCGAGCGGCCGGGGAACTGTTGCGGCGGCATGTTGTTGGGCGGCGGCGGCGGTTGCGAGGCGGGCGGGCCGTAGCCGGGGCCGGGGTATTGGATGTTGCCCGGAGGTCGCGGCGGGTAGCCGGTTTGAGGGTATTGGTTCGGCTGGTACAGAGGCATTTGCTGGTTGCCTGAACCGGTGACCACCATGCTCGGGTGGCCTTTATAACCGTGGGCCGGATGAGGATTCGAATGGGGTGTTGTATAGCTGCCCTGAGTTACAATCGGTGAATGACTTATACGACTAGGTCCGTTGCCATCGGATTGTCCGCTCGAAGGCCTTGGTGGCATAGGAATGTTTTGGCCTGCAAACAAACGACAATATTAATTTTATTACAAGCTCCATCAAAACATCCATCAAATCACTAAATAATTCCATTCGAATTCGATTAACAAATCGCCATTACGTAATAATTGAATTATAGGTTAAACAGATTTGGTAATAAAATCGAATTTTATCATCATTAACTAAAGCGCCTGAAAAATGCACAAACATTTCAGCGCACAATTCAATTGCAATATTATTATTCCGATTACTAACGGATTTTCAATCAAATATTCAATTCATTACGTTGCGTTACGTTACGCTACGGACAGTAATTAATATTTTAAACTGTTTTTTTTTTAATACCGACCTACTGCTGGTGACATGGACCTGGAACCTGTTGAACCAGTAGGTGATGGAGTCGGTCGCATACCCTGTGAATTCGGCGTCCCCGGTGCAGGACCACCGGAACTATCATTACTGTTACCACCACTAAGATCCTGCAACAAAATAATTCCGTTTTTCAACAAAATCCGTTTTCGCACACTAGATAAATCAGTCCGAACCCTTAGATACTCCTCAAAGAATGCGAAATGCAATAAATCCGGTAAAAAACTCATTTCGGAAAAAAAGTTAATTTCGACCGGTGCTAACGAGACGAATGCCTTCCAGTCACTAAACTAAGAAATATCAAGTTGTTGTTCAAAGTAATTTGAAGCTTTATAATTTAATATTGATTTTAATTTCCCTTTATTTTCGAGTAGTCGACAAACCCACGCACACTGCCAGTATATGACACTTGCAGAAGATGCATTTTCTTATAAACTGATGGAATCGAATGATGAGATGAAGCGGATAAAAATAATTAAGAATAACATTTTAACAAGCTTTCAATTAGCGGAAACATCATTGTAGCTGACTTGATTTATTTGCGTCAGCTAACTAACGCGAGTTTCGTTCTACCTTATTTTTCTCTATTTTATTTTATTTTATGCTCGTGCGTCAAATAGAATCATGCAGTGCAATTTAAACTTAATAAACTTTTACTTTTTTTTTCGTTTTTTTTTTTAATTCACTCGCTTTAATTTTCCGCTTTTACATTCATTGTTTTAATAAAAATTCCTCAGTGTACCTCATTTGAATTAAAGAATTTCATACTACGAATATCATACTACGTAGATTATAATATAAAGGAGGTCACAAAGATACCTCAACTGGTATTCATAAACAGTGTTCAGCATACTTAAAATTGTGGAAATTCTATACGAAGCAACCTCGTATATTTATCGCATTTAAATCAAATTATTTCCGTTCTGAAACTGATAAATATGTGGTTTTTAATTGGGACGTTTACAGGTTGTATTTAGTATCAGTCGATTCTTCAATGAATCATTGGATTTTGAAGTTTTATGTGTAACAGGCAAACTTTTATGAAAACGATATCCGCCACCTACATTTAATCTCATTCATTATACTCCCCAAAGATTAATATTAACGAGACTATTTCGACAAAACAGAGTAAAATCAACTGGTTCGGAAACCAGAAAAGCCTTCCGAAAATGGAATACATAATGAAAATATACAAATTTTCCTACACATCATTAATTTTGATGCCTAGAATATATATTAGTATTTAATAGCGTGATGTAAAATGCAACATTCACTTCCAAAGTTCATGCCAGTAATATCCAAGGTAACACTAAATACAACGTTGCAGAAAGTTTGTGTTAGTCTATCTGAAAATGGTATTTTGAGGAAATTTGGTCATATGCATTAAAGATAAAAGAGTGGATCATAACAACAGATTTCGAAACGAATGAAACGATTCAATTAAGTAAATTCGTCGCGGTTTTGAATTCATTAAAGTCGGCTCGATTTGAGCTTCGAAACATTACCGATATTTCGGCAAAAATTCCAATCCACCTCGGCGTATTCATCCCGTTTAATGAATAATAATTGCCGTTTGTTACTCTGTTACTTGTTCGAGGATCAAAGAGGATATATGCAAGCTGAAATAATTGAAATCATCCGAAATGAAGAGGATAAAATAAATGTTATTAACACTATGTTACTTCGAAATTTAAATTCGTTTATGAATATTGATTGCATTGTTTAGTTATCGCACACTTATTGATACAATAACTAATTAATTTGGTAATCTCGACGGAATCCGAGCTTTTTGTTTGCTTATTTTCGAATTGAACAGCGACTAGCATAGTTTATATAATAAAACCGAGAGCGATATGTGTCATACAAATTCATTCAAGAGGGTATTGTATTTTTAGTAACATTTCGTTCTATAAATGTACCTTGTTAAACGATAAATATTAATGGTTATGTCTAATTCAATTCGCTTTGAGACAGGTCAAGTTCCATATAAAAGATCCCTAATTGTGACTTATTAGGGATCTCGGGCTTACATTAAACGCCCATTACGCGAACGTTAGGCGACAACGTGAATGTGTGTAAATTTCGCTAAAGGGAAATTACCTCATAAACTTCAATTCACTAACAAATAGGGAACTTAATATAATACAGGTCTTCTTTCTAAATTGTTTATACAGGGTAACGCATAAAATTTAGAGCGCGTGTAAAACAAAGCATTTCTAAAAATAAACAATTATCTTGAATCATAGTAAAGTTTATTTAAGGTTAACAGATAATGATCTAAAGTTATTTTTTTTTAATTATGTGAAAGTGCTTAAACTTAATCAAGTATTTACTTTTAAACAAAATTTAATCGTTAAAAATAAACGATTTTTAACGTACTTTTATGTGCGTAATTTAAAAATACACTTGAACTGTGACCTTCATCTTTAATTCAGTAATTTCGATACTGACCTATCCAAATAATAAATATTTAACTATGTATTTATAATCAGTACTCATTAAAAAACCATTGAGCTAAAATCCACATGCGATATTCAAAACCAATTCACCTGTGCCGTACCTACACAAAAGCTCTTCAAAACGATTTATCAGAATAAATCAACGCACAATCCGCCTTCCCTAATTGGTATAAAGCAAATTTTACATTTTCTGAGAGTGAAATATTTGAAAAGTAGGCGGAGGCCACGTGGCCCTCGACCAATCCGAAACGTGAGCCGGATTATTGATTTTCTTCCCACTTAGTGCCAAAACGGTCAATAGTTCTTGTTGTTGTGCTTGCTCTAATAAATTGATCGGAATATCCCGAGTACAATAAATAATGAATCTTGCCGATGACCAATTAAACGAATTAAGTACATAACAATATGTTCGCATCGCCAGATTAGCGTGAACGTACTCTCACACAAGTTATTAACGAACTACGCGTTCCAATATTCTGCGGCATATCCGGATTATTTTGCAAAATTTAAAAGAAAAAACGAATGTAAAGAATTGGGTAATTTCGATCACAATCCTCGTGTGAAAATTGATTTTGGCACAAATCCTATTCACTGCTGATTATACTTAGATTCACTTGGGTCACTAATCAATTGACCCTAATAGGACCTTAATGAACTAATCGGCGACCAAATAGGATTAATTGCCTCTTGTTTAACGAAGTTCAAATTGGTGGGTACCTCTTAGTCCCTTTAGGACAGCTCGAATGTAAACAACACGTACAATCACAATATCCCCGAACGCTTCCAAAAATTCCAACGCAAGAAAATAACGCCAGTGATTCATAACGATCACGATAAAGTGGTAACATCCTTTGCCGACCTATCGCAACAACAGACATTCGAAGCAAGTCGAAATGGAATTTCCAGTTCACCTATTTCACCCCTTTTGCATTTATTACAAAATCGAATGCAACGCCGAGGACTTATCATTATGTAAATAATTCACCGGCGGGCTATTACGGATAACCGCGGTACCAATATCGTAAATCTACCCGATCCCGCATCTATTCTAATCTTCTAATCGGCTTTCCAAACAGCTGTTCCACATCAATTTATTTATGAGTGTAACTCCCTCTAATTCCGACGTGACCTTGCCACGATTTTAGGACCTCTTTCATTAAAAGGGAAACCCGTTTCTCAATGAATTGCTAACCTTGATGTGGCCACAACCTCGGGGGAAGCCTCATTCAAAGACATTATTTTTATATTGACATTGGGCAGGGATCCTCTACCATCGCAACGATTTCCTCTTTTTTTTTACGAACTCTGCGATGATTCGAATCCTTACGTCCAAATAATCAATATTTTCAGATACGCTTATTTTCATAATATTATTTTATTATTAACACAACAATCTTAGCATTATCGCGAAGTTCATATATAATGACAATATTTTATTTTATCTCTTTAAGGTGCCTGAATGTCTATCGTAAACATCATTGAAAATTAATGTTATCATCGTTATGTATATTTTACATTTCCAAGTAGGCATTTTTGAACAACCGGTTTTTCAACAATCCGAATTACTTTATTATAGCATGCGATAAGGAAGTGGTTACGACTCGTCGTACCTCAAAATTTCGGTTCGACTACAACGTAAACAGTTCAAAACCCTCGACGGGCCGGGGTAGGACAGGTGAATTGGTCGTGCATCTTTGTGGAACAAAAATTAACTGTAAACCCGGCGAAAATAAAACGTTTCTACATCGTGCTTTCGTCTAGTAACAAGTATGAACAGGTGTTCGCACTATCGATGTCGTAAAATTCCTCGAGGAACAATTCGAACGACGAACTCGGTCGCTTAACCTATAAATTTTTTAACCGTACTAAACCGTCACGCAATAAGGGTTAAAATTAATATTTCTTTATGAATAATAAACGGAGCGCAGGATAATGCCGAGCGAAATGCGGCGAACGACTGATTAGATTTTCCGACAGACCGGTGCCTATAAACCAAATTTTCGTCGATTGTTCGGTTCTATAGCTATATATTTTTCTCAAAATGTAATTGGTAATAGTAATGTCCCTATAGCCCACATTGTTAATTTCGATATGCAAAACATTGAATTTTACTTTCAAATCATTTCCCAATATAAGCGAGCCAACAAACAACCAGACATGTTAGAAGATAAAAACAAAAGGGAAAATCAATAGGCACGCACGGCGTGACGTAACGCAAATGACGACCCCAAAAATGGGAAATAAATACAAATACGACCTTGCCACATATATTTAAAACTAATTTACGTCGTTCTCATTCTTCCATGCGACAGCGGCGTAGAAAACGGAGCAACAAGTGAATGGTTTTTATTCACAAATTGCAATAAATTATTGCGGTGCATTCGCGCCGCGACAACAATCAAAACTCCAAGTTGTTTTGGAATTGAACAACGCGCTCAAACTTCGTGAGTTATTGACTTTTCAATTTGAGAAGAAATCGGCAACGTCAATTTCCTTTCGCAAGAATCCCAAACTAGTTTCGAAATCCGATAAATTCCAAGAATGCTCAAACTTCGCCATAAAGCGTACGAGCAAAGTTGTCACGGGGATAATGCATTCAGTGCAACGTTGATTCTTTGATAGAGATCAGTTCAGTATTGGGTTTATTATGG